TAGGCCTTTCAGCCCCTCTAGCCTGCTCCACAATTCTATACAATCAAGTGTGGCCTTAAATCCACATTCCTGCCTACCCTGTCTTCATAGTCAAGAATCTGTTTACTTCTGCCTTAGAAGCGTTCAATGATTCTCCTTCGTCTGCTCCTGGGGAAATATAGTTACAGAAAGACTCATGACCCTCTGAGAAAATACTCCTTCTCGTCTCTACCTTAAATAGCAAGCCCCTTAGTTTATAAACTGTCTCCTACTTCTCATCTCTTCCCCAAGGGGAAGCATCTATTCAGAATCCACCATGTCAAGTCCTCTAAGGAGCTTGCATTTTTCAATAAAAATTACATCCTTACATTCTTCCAAACTTTTCTCATAAGATAATCACCCCGCAACTCAGGAAGCTGTTAAACGAACCTTGTCTGAACAACTTCTTACAAATTTGTATCTTTTCTTAAATAAAGAGGGCAAGACTGTACACAGTATTAAAAGATGTGGTCCCACCAATACTCTGCACAACTGCAGAAAAACATTCCTATTTTTATACTGCACTCTCCTTACAACAAACAAAACTTCATTTGCAGTCCTGATCACTCGCCTACTAATTTATTGTGACTCATATACAAGGAGACCTAGATTCCTCTGTAGCTCAGAGTTCATCAACCTCTCTCCATTTAAGCAATATGCAGTTTTTCTATTCCTCCTGCTGAAGTGGACAAGTTCACATTCACCCACCTTATACTCCATGTGCCAAATTTTTGCCTGTTCAGTAGATAAGATTCCTTTGCTGACTCCATATGTTCTTTTTACAGCTTACTTTCCCAACTACCTTTTGAGTGACAGTAAATTCAGCAACTACGCTTTCAGTTCTATTACAAGATATAAACCATAAATAAATGAGGCTCCAACTCTTATCTCTAAGACATACCAATTGTGGCATCATGCCAAACCAAAAAACAACTCACCATCTACTACCTGTTAACCAAAATAATTCTTTATCCATGCTAATATGTCACCCATACACCATAAAGTCTATTTTTGTATCATAACCTCTTAAATTGTACCTTGTCAAAAGCCTTCTGGAAATCGAAGTACAGTACATCCATCAGTTCCCCTTTTATCAATGTTACTTGTTGTTTTTCTTAAAGGGCTCAAAAAATTAGTCAATCACGATTTCCCTTTTTCAGAGCTATTTTTCTCTGCCTGGTTGCACTGAAGACTTTCCAGAGTCCTGCTATAACCTCCTTAATAACAGATTTGAGCATTTTCCTTATGACAGATATTAGGCTGACTGGCCTGTGGTTTTGTTTGCGCTGTCCTCTCTAAATAAATAGAAGTCATATTCGAGGTTTCTAATCTGATGGGACCTTACCAGAATCTAGGGACTTTTGAAAATTTAAAAACTTGATGCTCCACCAGGGCCCACTGTTACAGCATTCAAAGAGTCTTCAAGATCCTTAAGGGGGAGGGTGAGCAACCAGCAGTCATGGTACACATCGGTACCAATGACATAGGTAGAAAAAGGACTGAGAATGTGAAAAACGAGTACAGGGAGTTAGGTTGGAAGCTGAAGTCCAGGACAAACAGGGTAGTTATCTCTGGATTACTACCAGTGCCACGTGATAACAAGGTAAGAAATAGGGAGAGAGTGCAGCTAAACATGTGGCTACAGGGCTGGTGTAGGAGGGAGGGCTTCCATTATGTGGATAATTGGAGCACATTCTGGGGAAGGTGGGACCTGTACAGTAAGGACGGGTTGCACCTGAACCAGAAGGGCACAAATATCCTGGGAGGGAAGTTTGCTAGAGCTGTATGGGATGGTTTAAACTAGATTGGCAGGGGGTGGGGAACTGCATTTATAATTCAGAGGATGAGGTATTCAGCCTTCCAACAGACACAACTGGGCGTGAGGTGGTTTATAAAGAAATGCGGTCGACGGAGCGTAACTGCAGACACTGAGATGGTTTGAGTTGTGTATACTTCAATGCAAGATGTATCAGAAATAAAGCGGATGAACTTAGAGCATGGGTCGGTACTTGTAACTATGATGTTGTGGCCATTATAGAAACTTGGGTAACTCGGAGAGGAATGGATGTTGGAAGTTCCGGGATTTAGATGCTTTAAAAGAAATAGGGAGGGTGGAAAAAGAGGTGGGGGAGTGGCATTGCTAGTCAGGGCGAGTATAGCAGCTACTGAAAGGCAGTTCGAGAATGATATGTCAACAGAGTCAGTTTGGGTTGGAGGTCAGGAACAAGAAAGGAGCAGTCACTTTGTTGGGGGTTTTTTTACAGACCCCTTCATAGTTGCAGAGAAGTAGAGGAGCGGATTGGGAGGCAGATACTGGAAAGGTGCAGAAGTCACAGGGTTGTAGTCATGGGTGACTTCGACTTTCCAAATATTTATTGGAAACATTTCAGATGTAATAGTTTAGATGGAGCAGATTTTGTCCAGTGCGCTCAGGAAGGATTCCAGACACAGTATGTAGATAGACCAACACGAGGAGAGGCCACTTTGGATTTGGTGCTTGACAATGAACCGGGCCAAGTGTTAGACCTGTTGGTAGGAGAGCATTTTGGCAGTAGTGATCATAACTTTGTTACTTTTACAATAGTCATGGATAAGGATAGGTACGTACGGCAGGGTAAAGTTTATAACTGGGGGAAGGGTAATTACAATTCAGTTAGGCAAGAACTGGGTAACATAAATTGGGAACAGATGCTGTGAAGGAAGAGCACCACAGAAACGTGGAGATTGTTTAAGGAATGCATACTGCACGTGCTCAATATGTTTGTCCCTAGCAGGCAGGGAAGATGCAGTCGAGTGAGGGAGCCATGGTTCTCGAGAGAGGTCGAATGACTGGTTAAGAGGAAGAAGGAGGCTTGGGAAAAGAGGAACAGAAAAGGCTCTAGAGGGATACAAGTTAGCCAGGAAGGAGCTGAAGGGCTTAGGAGAGCTATAAGGGGGCATGAGAAAACCTTGGCAGATAGGATCAAGGAAAACGCCAAGGCTTTTTACACATATGTGCAGAACAAGAGAATGACAGAGATAGGGTAGGGCCGATCAAGGATTGTAAAGGGAATTTGTGCACAGAGCCTAAAGAGATAGGAGAGGTCCTTAATGAATACTTTTCTTCAGTATTCACAACCAAGAGGGACCTAGTTGTAGAGGAGGACAGTGTGAAACAGGCTGGTAGGCTAGAGGAGGTTGATGTTATTAAAGAAGATGCACTAGGAATTCTGAGGAAGTTGAAGATAGATAAGTCCCCTGGGCCTGATGGGATTTATCCAAGGATTCTATGGGAAGCGAGGGAAGAGATCGCAGGGCCTTTGGCAATGATCTTTTCGTCCTCACTGTCCGCGGGTATAGTGTCGGAAGATTGGAAAGAGGCAAATGTCATTCCCTTGTTCAAAAAAGGGAACAGGGATAACCCCGGAAATTACAGACCAGTTAGTCTTACGTCAATGGTGGGCAAATTATTGGAAAGGGCTCTGAGAGACAGGATTTATGATCACTTGGAAAGGCACAGTTTGATTCGTGATAGTCAGCATGGATTTGTGAGGGGTAGATCATGCCTCACAAACCTTACTGAATTCTTTGAAGAGGTGACCAAACACGTGGATGAAGGTGGAGCAGTGGATGCGGTATACATGGATTTAAAGTAAGGCATTTGATAAGGTTCCCCATGGTAGGCTCATGCAGAAGGTAAGGAGGCATGGGATAGGGGGAAATGTGACAGATTGTCTTCTAAATGTCAGCCAATTCTGAATCCAAAGGGTGGTAGTGGACGGAAAATATTCAACATGGTGCTCAGTTACGAGTGGTGTACCACAAGGATCTGTCCTGGGTCCTCTTCTATTGTGATTTTTGTAAATGATTTGGATGAAGGAGTGGAAGGGCGGATTAGTTAATTCGCGGATGATACGAAGGCGGGTCACGTTGTGGACAGTGCGGAGGGCTGTTCTAGGTTACAAAGGGACATTGATAGAATGCAGAGTTGGGCTGAGAAGTGGCAGATGGAGTTTAACCCTGAAAAGTGTGAGGTGATTCATTTTGGAAGGACAAACTTGAAAGCAGAATACCGGGTTAACAGAAAGATTCTTGGCAGTGTAGAGGAGCAGAGGGATCTTGGGGTTCTTGTTCACAGTTCCCTGAAAGCTGCCACCCAGGTGGATACAGTTGTTAAGGCGGCGTATGGTGTGTTAGTTTTCATTAATAGAGGGATTGAGTTCAAGAGCCATGAAGTTATGCTCCAGCTATACAAAAGCCTGGTTCGGCCACATCTGGAGTATTGTGTCCAGTTCTGGTCACCTCATTACAGGAAAAATGTGGAAGCATTGGAAAAAGATGCAGAGGAGATTTACCAGGCTGTTGTCTGGAATGGAGGGAAGGTCTTACGAGGAAAGGTTGAGAGCGCTAGGGCTTTTCTCTTTAGAATGACGAAGGATGAGAGGTGACTTGATAGAGGTGTACAAAATGATCAGAGGTATAGATAGAGTAGACAGCCAAAGACCTTTTTCCTAGGGTGGAGGTAGCTTTTACGAGGGGACATAGTTTTGAAGTGAAAGGAGATAGATATCGGGGAGACGTCAGAGGTAGATTCTTTACTCAGAGAGTGGCAGGGGCGTCGAATGCATTGCTGGAGAGGGTAATGGAGTCGGCCTCATTAGGGGCATTTAAGCGGCTATTAGATCGGCATATGGATGATAGTATAAAGGTAGCGGTGGAGTATAGATAGACCTTAGGTTTCGGGTAAAAGTTCGGCACAACATTGTGGGCCGAAGGGCCTGTACTGTGCTGTACTGAGGAGGACATGCAATCCAAATGGGCTCAAGAGCTCTGAAGATGATGTTAGGAAAGTCATTAGTGTTAAAGACCAATGATTTCTTGGGTTTTAACTTGAGATTTTCCCCTCCACACCAATTCACTGTCCCAAATAAAAGTGACCCACCTGTGAAATAGTTACAGTTCAAAGTAGGTATTTTAATTGACAGGTCTTAATATACACTCACCTTGAAGGTCTTTCAAACTTTCAGCTCATGGAGATTTACTGGCTAGGTCCTGACTTTCTTTGGCATGATTCTTCAGATCTTGGGTTCTGGCTCAGTTTACCTAAGAAAATAAAATTTTAAAATTAGCTAAAAATCTGGCACTTTGGATAAGCAGCAAACTAATTACATTTTAAATACTTCAAAGTAGATTGTCAGCACTATTCATCCACATCCAGTAGTTGTTGAATTTTTAATTGTTTCCTTACAAAACTCTTTACAATATGCGCAATTTCAAACTGGCATATTGCAGTTGTTCTACAGAAAAATACCTATAAATGCAAAGACAGAACTAATCAAGGCAGTTAATTAAGATTTCCAGAAGTGAGTCATTGCCCAAATACTCATGATGGAGGCTATCAACACGTAGCATTTACTTCCAACAGAACTTGCTGTTGCAGTATCCTCAGAGCCTGCAACAGCAATTTAAACTGGACACGATTTTGGTCATCAAACACTGAAACATTGTGATCTGCAAGAGGATATTTGGGTATAAGAGAGGAGTGTGTGCACAACCTTGAGGTTTCCAGACATAATCAGCGAAAAGATCTCAATAGGAAAGTGAACCTCTTCGATCAAGATCAACAACAGATGCAGAGAAATTGTGAATGAGCATGATGAGAAGCGACACTAGCTGAATAATAGCAGGAATAGCTCTGGGATCTTGCTGCAGTACAGAAATGGCAATACTCTTAAATCTCGCAAACTTTCTGCACTGTGCCAAAAGAACCTATCATTGCCTCAGTACTACCCACATTTTCTTTCACTGCTTCTTATTGTTGGCCACAGACCAGCAAGATAGATATTACGACACCTCGTTGTTTCCAAGCAACCAGCCTTCGCAGCAGTAATCAGCAGAGAGATACAGGACGGATGTAATATAAGACCATCATAGTAGCTGACTAACACTATGTGTTACCAGACATCACATGCTAGATTAAGATTAATAGTGTGGAAAATACTTGCAATCCATGAAGGTAATTGTGGAGTATACAGAAACCCACAGGGTAACCAGGGTGCAGCAAATTACACTTCAGGCTTGGAGCAATCCTGAAACCTGTATGAATTGCAGAACGTCATTCTGCTGTATCTGCAGGATAGTAACGAAACAGTTCATCATTGTAAATAAGTTGCCAATCATCTGCTTCATACAAATATAGACTGTGGACTGCTAGAATTGTACACAGTCAAACATCAGTTGAATATCCTGTGATGATTCCAAAATCTATTACAGAAAGAATACAGCAGATAAATGTAAATGAAATAGACTGTGTTAAAAAAGAAGTACAAGTGAAATCTATAAGTAATTAGCTGAAACTCTAAACATTCACGAAGTTAGAGATTGATGAAACTTACCTAGAACTGCTGTATACGGATACTATAAGATATAGGAGCAGAATTAGGCCATTCAGCCCATTGAGTCTGCTCCGCCATTGAATCATGGTTGATATGTTTCTCAACCCTATTCTCCCCGTAACCCTGAATCTCCTCACCAATCAAGAACCTTTCTTTCTCTGTCTTAAATATACAGAGTGCCTTGGCTCCACAGACTCACCACCGTCTGTATGGTGAAATTCTTCCTCCATTCAAAGGGTTATCCCTTCACTTTGAGGCTGTGTGATCGGCTCCTAGTCTCTGTTACTAGTGGAAACGTCTACTGCATGTCCAACCTATCAAAGCCTCTCAGTATTCTGTAAGTTTCAGTCACATCTCCCTTCATTCTTCTAAACTCCATCAAGTACAGACTCAAGAGTCCTCAACCGTTCCTCATACGACAAGCCCTCCATCTCTGGAATCATTGTTGTAGAGCTCCTGTGGACCCTCTCCAAAGCCACCACATCCATCCTCACACGTGATGCCCGAATCTGCTCACAATATTACAGATGCAGTCTGACCAGAGCCTTATACAGCCCCAGCAGTACATCCTTGTTCTTTTATTCTAGTCCTCTTGAAAATGAATTGCATTGGTCTTCCTAACTGCCAACGAACCTGCATGTTAACCTTAAGAGAATCCTGAACTAGGATTCCCAAGTCCCTTTGTGCCTCAGATTTATGAAGACTTTCCCTGTTTAGAAAATAGTCTACACTTCTATTCTTCCTACCAAAGTGCATATCCTCACTTTCTCACATGTATTTCACCTGCCACGTCTTCGCTCATCCTCTTAGCCAGTCCAAGTGCTTCCGCAGCATTCTAGCTTCCTCAACACTACTTATCTCTCAACCTTTGTGCCATCTGCAAACTTAGCAACAATGCCCATAGTTCCTTCGTTAATATAACATCCTGATCATGAATGTATAATGTGAATAGTTGTGGTCCCAATACGGACCCCTGCAGAGCTCCAATAGTCACTGGCTGCCATCCTGAAAAAGTTATCCCTACTCTGCTTTCTACCAGGCAGCCAGTGCTCCATCCATGACCTAACCTTGCCCCGAACACCATGGATTCTCATTTTGCTTAGCAGTCTCCTGTGCAGCACCTTGTCAAAGGCCTTTCAGAAATCTGAATAGATCATGTCCACTGGTTTTCCTTTGTCTAACTTGCTAATTACCTTCTCAAAAGAATTCTAACAGATTTGTCAGGTATTACTTCCACGTGACGAAGTTGTGCTGACTCTGCCCTTTTTTACCATGCACTTCCAAGTGCTCCATATTTTCATCCTCAATGTGAAGCACAGCATGGACTCCCTGGTCTAAAACTTTAAGACTGTAATGCTGAACTTTCACCTTTATTTTTCTAATTTATATCTAAGATTTTCTACCTAGCTATCTTTGTACCCAAGATAGCACTGGAAGTGGTGACTTTGTACACTTTTTGCCCACTGGATATAACAAACTGCTCTACCTTCAAACCCGAAGAGCAAGTATAAAAGCCAGCCTCAGGTATGCAGCAATAGTGGTAACATCAAGCAGGGCAAGCCATCAATCAAATTCCAACAAGCTGGAAATTGGACAGCGAAATGTGCAGAACTTTCACTATCAAATAAAATGAAGAAGTTTCATTTTCTAGAAGTAATGTTATTTTTCTGGGGCTTTGAGGCTTTTCGAAGTACATAAGGAGCTCATTCATCCATATATAACACATGTTGAGGGTTTTTACACCCAGACTAATAGCTCAACAGAAAGGTTTTTATCAAATTACTAACATGTAATTGATTGCAGTCTGGCTTCCTTCTCCTGGTGGCAAAAGTTGGGTCTGTCTGAAATGGGGTAGGACCTCTGCACCCAGATCATGCCTGCTCTTTTTTAAGCTCTCCAGACTGCCGCATTCTTGCGAATATCTAGCCAATAATTTCCAAATTGGAGAACTGGCCTTTAACTAATAAAAGCAGGTTTGCCCAATTTTCTCTGGTGTTTTAGAACGCACATGGCAGATGAGGAAATTGAGAAGCGTAGTGCCTTGCCTGTTGCAGGTGGCTGAGCAGCAGTGTGATACTCCTCATTTTCCCGTTCTCTTACTCCTAGAGAAATATGATATTGCACACTCACCCTGGAGATAGGGTAATGAGCAAGAGAACAAGACTTATTGCACAAAACATCCTCTCTGAAGCGATTGAACAGCATAGCTCAAAATGTACTTCTATCAAACTGTAAGCACAGGATGCACTGGGTGATGAAATTTAACTGATTTATGTCTCATGTTTATATCTCAATTATATTTCACAACTTGAATAAATTACTCTTTAGATTAAAGGACCATGGGTTGACATGAAACAGTAAATCTTTCTTACATGTATATAACAACAGGTCAGTTTATCATGGTCTTATTCATCATTTAATGCAATAGTAAAGTAGTTTCCATGGATGATTCAAATTAGTTTGGCTCATGGACTAGAATTAGTCAAATTGTATTTTTGAACACACAAGCTGGCAGTCCATGTGATAGTGCATCTGCAATCAAACCAGATGGTTGTGTGTTTGATCATTGAGGCTGCCTTTCACTTAGGTTTGCTGGCATCTGCTTGTGGGTTGGCATTGCAGACTATCATGGAGAGAGGGAATTGCTGCACTGTACCAGACTGCTCCCTCTGCTGTGAGGAGGAACTGTGGCCCTATGAGTTCCAAAAGCATCTACCACCGACAAACTGAAAAGGTTTCGGAGGTGGCCAACAGTCAGAGAAACAAAATTAGTTATGTATTTCCGAATCAACTTGTTTAGCGATGTATTACACACCTTTGGAGCACATGGAACTTCAACCCAAATTTCTTGGCTCAGAGATAGGAACACTATCACTGTATTACAAGAACCCTTCATAACATTAGATACAGAATTGACTTCTTTTCCAGACAGAAAACAGGAAACATAAATATCCAGTTAGAGACAAAAATAATTCTTCATAGGAGCTTGCCTACAGCAGCCAGTATCAGTTTCATATTCATCAGAAAATCAAACCAGAATTGGCTTGGATTGCATGCCGGAAAGTCATTTAGGTCAGCCCAGGTAAGGGCAGCAGTTTAGAACATAGATCACAGAATTGTACAGCACAGAAATGGGCCCTTCAGCCTACGATACTGTGCCGAGCATGACGCCGAATGAAAATAATCTCTTCTGCCTGCCATTGGTCCATATCCCTCCATTCCTTGCATATTCATGTGCTTATCTAACAGTATCCTAAATGCCCCTATCACATCTGCCTCCACCACTACCCCTGGCAGTGGTTATCACCCTAAAAGGCACTAGCCTCTCACGTTTCCTTTGATCTTTCCCCCCTCCAACCATTAATGCATGCCCCCGAGCATTAGACATTTCAGCCTCCACCGCACAATAGAAAACAACCTGAGTTTTTCTAGCCTCTCCTTATACCTTACACCCTCTAAATCCAGGCAGCGTCCTGGTAAACCTCTTCTGCACCCTCTCCAAAGCTTCCACATCCTTCCTGTAATGTGGCGACCAGAACCAAATGCAATATTCTAAATGCTGCCTAATCAAAAAGTCTTATAAAGTTGCAATACGACATCCTGACTCTTGCACTCAATTCCCCGACCAATAAAGGCAAGCATGCCACATGCCTTCATTACCACCCCATCTACTTGTGTGGCTACTTTCAAGGAGCTCTGGACTTGGAC